CGGATAAATTTAACATGCTAGTTTCGAAAAAAAAAACACAAACCGAAATAGAACACATACAAATCAAATAATATACATTATTATAACTATTTCAACTTAAAATAAATCGAAATACCTCGATTTAGAATTTTGTCAAAGCAAAAAAATTGAAATTTTGACTCCGGAATTGTGAATCAACAATAGCACAAAACTCTACTCGAATGTGGGACCCTTTTTCTTCGAGTTTTATGTGTCGGGGGGACCCAAAAAAAAAATTTAAAAAAAATGGCAGAAACGAGGTATTTGGTGGGGGCCAAGAAAGATGGGGGTTTAAAAATGGAGGATAAATCGAGTGGAAGACGGAGGGGTATAAAATATCTATGTATAGCGCCACTATACCTGGCGCTATACATTAATGATGTATATATAGCGCCAGGTATTGTGGCGCTATACCTGGCCATGTCAGCTTTTACAGTATAGCGCCACAATACCTGACGCTATACCTTAACGGTGCCGCTACTGTTAGTATATAGCGCCAGGTATTATGGCGCTATATATAAAAAGGTCATTTTTTTTTACCACCTATTTGTGTAGTTTGAGTCCAAAAAAACCGCATTTTGGTTTCGGATTCCATGTAAGGGGCCCAGAGCTGCTTTGTGTGCGAGGATAGTAAGTAGTACTTATTATTATTGGGAAAGATTGCAAAATTTGATGTTAATTTTAGTTGTGAGCCAAAAGCCACGTCATCTGTTATCAACCACCAGTTATCACTGGCCCTGCATTTTTTGTTCTTTAGTCTAAAAATAACTATGCCACAAACAAATTTCTCCCATAGATGATAGACCAATATAAAGCTGCAGCTTGGAAGTAAATTTAGTCACTAGTAATTAAACCTCAATTCAGAAACAATGGGACTGAGAGCTATTCCCTTTACAGCTTCTCAAAATGGTATTATGCCAAACTATTTGGGTGGTTCAGATCAATATTTCCCTAGTACTATTCTTCCTAGCTCAAAACTTGTATTCGCAGTTTCAGCAAAGGCAAAGAAAGAGGATACAGAAGAACCCAAGGAAAAAAAGAAGCAATCTTTGTTTTCAAGTGTAACAGAAGCTCTCGATTTTTCTCAGGTTAGATCAGCTAAAGACGCCGAGCTTATCGATGAAGCTAGAGAAGCTACTCAATCTGGCGAGAGGATGTCCAGAGAACAGGTATTAATCATTTGCCAATAACTTAGATAACTACACAAAACGTGAATTGGTAACCTGAAAAACAAAATATGTTATCTGCTACACAATATGTTAAACTATATTGATAGTATTTTAAAAAAAAAATATTTACGCTGTCGGTGTGTATAAGTTACGTCTATTTTTTATTACATGTACTTGTTTACTTATGAAGACCTATTAATGGCCTTTCTATAGTATGGAGCTCTGAGAAGGAAGATCGGCGGGACATACAAAGATTTCTTCAAGTCCTACGTTGAAGGTAATTAATTATAACTGATCAATATAACTTCTACTACATTAAAATGTAATTAATATGTGGCTTAGTTGAAGGTAATTAATTATAGCTAATCATTTTTAACTTTTGCTCCCTCCATTCACTTTTACTTGGCAGGTATATTAAAATTGGATTTTTATTTTCACTCGTCACTTTACGCATATCAAGAAAAGTTTAAAAAAAAAATTGTTATACCCACAGTATTTATTACTCATTTCAACTAATTTTCTCAAAGCCAATAAAATATGCATCAATTAATATGAATATCGTGGTAAATTATGTATTTCATTTATTATTTCTTAAATAAAGTGAACGGAGGGAGTATATTACAAAGAATGTAATTAATGTGTGGCTTAATTAGCACGCAATTGATCGTTTCAAATTGTTTTTCATTGAAACAGTAAAAGGGGAATATGTGGAGGAGGGATGGGTAGACAAGACGTGCAAGGTTTGCAAGAAGGATACGAGAGGAGAAGCACGGCAAGTGGACAATTTTGGAAGATATGCACACGTGGCTTGCCTTGAGAAGTCCAAATCTGGAAATTTTTTCACCAACCTCTTCTCAAGATGAATTCTATCGAGGACCACTTAGTACTAATTAATTCATATTTTATTTTTGTTTGTATCTTTGTGTTCATGGATACCTTTTATAAACTCGTAAAAGTACAAAAACTTTTTTTTTGGTCGAAATTTCCAATATCATTATTACAGCATTCTCTTTGGCCATTTTGTACTTCTTTCTCTTCGGATGTTGAAGAAAATGAAACTAGAAAGCAAATTAGGAGTCATCCTGATGAGTGTCAGTGGTCTAAGCCTGTTACTCCGAAAGCCATGCTTGAGGGTGTACTAAGTTAGGTTGATTCGGAGTTTTTAATTATCAAATTAAATTAATGGTGTCGAATTTTTAAATTTTGTTTAACCTAAAAACGGATAATAATTAAATTTATACGTGGTTTTAAGGACACGTGATTTTACTTGGCACAAACTGAAAAAATACGTAAATTGATATTAAAATTAACTATAAATAAAAATAAAAGCAAACCAAAGGAAATGTATAGTTTTGGTCCTCGAGCTAGGTCGCCCTCGTACCAAACGAATATTCCACTGGTAAATATGAACAAAGTAATGGAGTATTGAAAGCTTAAGAGAAAGGTAGTGTATTGCTTCGTATTGCGTGAAAATGATGCTTTTTACAAATGATCAGATCCCCTTTATATAGTAGAGGAGTCCTACCCTTGATAAAATTCTAAATACAATAAGAAATCCCATGATTAGCTAATTAATCGACCTTTTCTTGATACGTACCGAGATTTCAACCGCGATCCTCGTCCGATCGCGGATATTTCGTCTTTCCGTTATTTGGTTCGGTAAGCTTCCCTCGATCTTGCTCAATCTCTATCCTTCATGGTCTCGATCTTGGCTGATCTCGATCTCGATCTTGGCTGATCTCGATCTCGATCGGTCTCAGGGTCGTGAGTTCGGCAATCTATCTTCGCATTATGGTCCGATATAAAATGAGGTCAAGCCTTGGCCTGCCATGTTCCAGTCTCGATTAGTCATACAAAAAAGGCAAGCCCGATTTTGACTGTATACAGATAGTCCCCTCGTTTCTCGGAGAGAAGATGACGAGAAACGATATGAACTTTTTCAATCCTGACTCGACGGGCCATGACGTCAGCGACGAACCCGGCTATGACATCAACGACAAGTGGATACTGAAACGTCTCGTTGGTTCGGGTACTGAGGCATTAAATGCCTGTCAGTTGTTGTCGGCCACCACCGATTCTGAACCGTCGATAACTACCTATAAAACCCAAGCCTTTCCTCATTCAAACTTTTACGTTCTACCCACTCTAGCTTTTTCTTCGATAAATCTCTTTGCTTAGCAATTTTCATACCCAAATTTCTTGAACCCTAATCAAATAGCGTATCATCCCAATTCGCTTTTCTCTTGTTCATCAATGGCTAAAACTTCCAAAATTGTGCCACAAAAGGAGGTTGTTTCTTCATCACGACCTGCCGGCAATGAGGCTCCGGCGGAACCCCACCCTGAGGATTTTGTTCTGACGGGGTGTCCAACCAACGCTGAATTTAAGCTCGAAAAGACTCCCGCAGTGCTGGGCCGATGTGAACCGATCTCGAGGTATATATGTACCATTACCAAAGACATTCTCAAAAAGGTAAAGGAGGCGTGTCACTGGGTGAACAAGGACGTAGTAGTTCGTACTCCTGAGGAATCGATCACCACATACGTGGAGGGGTATCTAAGTGTTTACACTTACCCCTTCACGATGGATCCCTTAGACCCCATCATCGTTGCCTTTTACAAGAGGTACGACGTCACCCTCGGCCAAATCCACCCTTCATTCTGGAGAATAGTCATTCTCCTTCGCTTCTTCACAAGAAAAATTGAGGGATGTCCCTTCACCCCCGATCACCTCATGCGCCTCTACAGTCTCCGGCTCTATCGAGGGATTGATTAAGCTTGTCCATCGGGCCAATAGAGCCCCGTTCTCCAATATAGACGAGTCTCGGGATCGAGGCTGGATAGGCTGATTTGTCCGAATAAAGATTTCGGACCTGATCCCCGCTGAAGATATGTCGTTCCCTAAGAAGTGGAACATGAAACGTAAGTACACTTCACCTTGAATGTTTAATTTGTTGTTTTACTTCCTATTTCCTTTGCTCATGTATGTTTTGGTGTTGCAGCTGTGGCCCAGATGCCGGAACCAATTCTGGAACTTAAGCAATGGGTCGAAAGCCTAGTGTCACAGAGACCCTACTCCAAACGTGCCTGGATGGAGTTGTCGAAGGGCCAATGGGAGGCCCGTAATCATGGTAGGTTTCTTCCCTGGAATGGCTATTGCCTACGCTTCTTCTCGAAATTACTCATCCTTTTTCTTTTTGTAGGTCTTGTAAAGGATGTTACAATGAGACTGCCATCTGGTGATGAAGAAGTCTTTCCCCAACCATCTGCTCTGAAGCAGGCCCAAGAGAAGAAGAGGAAAGAGGCTCCGAGTTGCCCGAGCCTGGAGAAGAAAAGCCCGGCAAAGAGATCTCGCAGGTCGAGAGGATGCCGTTACTATGCCTTCGAACTCAATCCACCGATTAAGGGATGAGTCCGAAGAAGAGCAGGAAGAAGACAACTCCTAGGTGGTGGCCCGTGCTCGGGTTGGTGCTTCGACACAAAAGCCCTCCGAACTGGAGGAAGTTGATGATGGAGCTTCGGCCGAAGTTCCGGAGCCAGAAAAGGTCGAGGCCGCTCTGTCCCAAACTGAGATGATCGAGGGAGGAACCAGAGACGAGGCTTCTCGAATAGCTGAAGATGTCTTGAGGGACAATCTCAGAGTGATTGATATCTCTGAGTCCCCTCAATTTTTGGACGCCACGATCCACGAGGCTGCTAACTTGGTATGTCGCTCTTGGGAGGGTCCTTAGGGGTCGCTCGAAGCTTTAGTAGATGTCACCGGTCTTGGTGAATTACCGGTGCCGAAGAAGACACCATCACTGGACGTCAGTGGGTCTTCATCGAGCCCAAAACTAGTGGAACTATTCCCGACCCCTAGTCTTAACCCTGATCGTAGGCGTACCATAGTTCTTACTGTTCCGAAGGATGCCCGAGTCTTCTCCCCCCCCCCCCCCCCTGGGG